CCCCCCTCGAGCCATTGCTTTGCGAACATCAATTTTTTGTTTATGCTTGTTTTTTTTTGATGCCGGACGCCAAGCTTCATTTTTTAATTTTAGGCTCAAGTTTTTCTGATGCTTAGCAATTTTTTTGATGCGTCACCCGTGAGGCAGTCCGGGCACTGGGTCGATGCTTTCGGATCGCCAGCCTTGGCACTTTCGCCCTGAGCCAAGCAGAAGCTTCGAAACCTTTTCTCTTCGAAATCTCTGCGCTTCGCTCGGCAGTTTATCCTTCAGAAAAACAGAACAGACAGCAGAAGGTGCCGCCAGCGCATCTTCTCCACGTCCACCACCACCAGTGCGGTCCACAGAGAGACGCATGTGAGAAGAGCGCAGTAGGCACAGAATCAAAGAGCTTTGGACGGAAGGCTTGCTGCCCACCAGCAGCGGGGTCCTCTCCGGCTTGCCAGGCCTTGCGTCTTGCAGACAGAGCAACAAGTCAACGACGTTTCAGGAATTTGTTTTGTTTAGGTGACCAGGGCCTCGATGCCCTACGCTACCATGCGGCCAACGCCACCTTGGGCTGTGGCTACCCCTTCGTAAACGTTGGAGGTTCTAGTGTCTCAGCATTTCGTTTTGGTTGACGTGTAACTTCACGACCTTGCGCAGGCGATGAGCATGTTTATTGCGTCCTGGGGCCCTCCGCCAGCAGCCCCGACGGCACGGAAGGCCGCTGGGTCGACCAGGCGGAGACGCCATCGCAATCCCTGAACTTCCTGAAGCTTCTTAGTGAAAATCGAGGATGGGAGCAATATCGAGCTGCCTATTTGCGCGGCTCAGATGCCAACAGGATCTGGCGGGTCTGGTTGTCTCCCCTTTGGGACTTGGAAAGCCTCAGGTGCTTCGGAGGGACTGGTGTCCGCAGATTGACTTGGTTGGTACGAAGCCCATTTGCAGCTCGAACAGCTGCAACATGAGAGTCTGTGCCAAAGTAACAATGGCAGGGCTTGCGGGGCTTACGGCTTGCCTTGCGACTGTTTTTGCACTTCCAGGCAAGAACAGTGAGGCCTTGCTGAGCGGTGTGAAGCTTGGACACCCTGGAGCCATACGTGAGCCATACGTGTCGAGTCCTTGCTGCAACTTGTGCAAGCATCGAAACCTTGAGGTGCGTATGAGTTTGGAAGCATCGCAACACTGCGCTGTCATATTGGCTACCAGCGCGTGGCTTCCCAAGCTTCCCAAGACTTTAGGGCAGTCTAGCGAGTCTAGTAACTTAGTGCGCCTGGTGGGTCGCTCGCTACCTTGGAGGTTGAGGGCAACATAACCTTGTGCCTTGGATGCGAGAGGTGACGATGCTGACAGATGCAGAGACAGGTTGAGCTGCACGTCAGATCATCTCAGGAATTGTATCAACCATGAGTCACTGCTCTATGGGATTTGGGATGCTGATCCCTTGCAGCTTGCATGCAAGTTCCCGCAGTGTGGTATATAGCGTTCAGAACAAGTCTGCAGGCGGTGCGAGTTGTCGCCCTTCTTCTGCCCAGCACCTGAAGCTACATTTGCGGGCCTCGCTCCTTGGAAGCAACCTGGAGCACAAAACAACTTAATCGGTGCATGCATCCCGCTCGTGCTCAGGTGCAGCTGGGTTCTCGCTTCCAGCGCGGTGATGCTGCTTGACGTTCATCACAGTCCTAGTGGCTACGATATAACCGACCGGTCTCTCAGGTGGTGAACATTGCCTGCCACACAGGCGAGAAGCCGAAAAAAGGAGGAGTATAGAGAGCACAGTTCCATGATTTGGCTCCAGGCTACAGCTACTTGCAAGGTGACCTGGAGGTAAGTGCAGTGAGATGTGCAGCTTTGCCAACATCCTACCCCGGCCCTACTCGCCCTACTCATTCTCAATTTGCGAGGTGCGCTGCGATGTCAGTGATGACACCGATGGAGGTTTCGTTCCCAGCTCGAATGGGTGGGCGAAACCTGCTTTGACGAACTCCCATGCCAGGGCAGTGGAAGACCAGTGATGGCACTGCGGCGAAGCCTGCCAGAGCCTAACAACACCTATCCCTTATCGCCAGAAACTTCTGTTCAGCATTCAAGCTTCGTGAGCTTGTGCTATCAGGTGGTCTGCGTACCTCAGCAAGACTTCTGCAGAATTCCCAGGGTGAACAACGGCTACGTAAATTCCGTATCCGAGGAGGGCAAGGCGACAGCTTCACAGATTCAGCTTCTGGTTCCGTTTCATTCAGCTCAGATGGGAAGCATTGTGGAGCTGCACTGCCAACAGGGCTTCCAGGACGAAAGAGTTTTTCACATGAGTGAAACGAACGAAACGACTGGAGCTGAAGCGGAAGCCTGGGAAGCTTGGGAAGCCTGAAGTGAAGCCGCTCCGAAGGATCTTCGCCTTGGGGCCCGGCAAAGGACTGCCCGCTGTGCTGAGGGGGGCGCCTTTCGTGTAGGCAGCTCGTTTTGAGTCTCAGCCACAGCCACCACAGCCACCATAGCCACCACATCATCCAATTTCCTGAAATGCAACCTATACTCGCCAAGGTATTTCGCGGGTGAGCCGAGCTGCTGGGATGCAAAAGGAAATTTAAGTAGCTTCATCGTGCTTCCGTAGAATTGAGGCAGCCAGCATTGATTCAAAACACTGGTGGTGTTGTCGTGATGGTGATTTATTGTTGCTGGTGTGTGTAGAGAGACATGTGAATTTAGACGACTTCAGATCAGCACTCCTCAAACATCGAGATGCAATAGCAAAAGAAGACCATCTTGAGGCTGAGGTTCCTCTTCATTTTCTCACTTCTTTTTTCAGGCGCCCGGGATGACAGGGGGTCCCAAACAGCTTAGCAACAGACGCGGACATAGCCAGTCCAGGCTTTCCTTCCTCCCGTTTAGTAGAAGATTCTGAAGGGAAAGTAAAGGGGAAATCAGATTGCCAAGGGATGCGAGCTGGTAAGCTGCACCATGCGGTGTGCAAGGGGACCAGAGCATGAGGCAGACAGAAGCCACTGCCCAGGGGATCTCAGAACATATGCTCAACGCATGTTTCGCTTAAAGGGAGTTTTGACGGACAAAGCTTTGTGATCTTCAACCGAGTCAAGGTTTCAAAGGCAGCGAGCGATGGAAAATGGACGGCTTTAATGCTGCATCTTCGGGGCATACTTAAATACTCCCA